ATTAATATTATTGTAAATTTTACAGGGTGTTCGGTCATATATTGGCACCTACAGCCTTTATTGTATCAATTTATTTAATTTACCAAATTCTGATTCATCTTATGATTTTTGTATATATTTCTCGATATAACCCATAATAAGGCTTGTAATTGTGGTTCAAAATATGGTGGGACACACTGTACCCTGTACAAGTTTTAGAAAATATTTTTTAGTCAGAAGTTTGTAAAGAAACAAAGGTATGGAACGAGTGGGTGTCTTTTTTTATCCTCCGATTATTTTTGCGGCTGTGGTCACCATTTGATAGATGGCATTTCTTTTGAATGGACTTCAGGCTCCACAGCGTGATAGTTGTGAATTGGCATCCCAGACAATAATATTAATTTTTTCTTTATCGAGTTTCCCCAATTTTGACTTTAAGTTTGAGTCATCGATAAACCCACCGTATCCATAAATCAACAAGTTGATATTCACATACTATATTTTTTTTATGATCGTCACGAAATTGCCTTAATATATTCACCAAGTCACATGATGACTAAAGAAAGCATGTGCAGAACTATCAGTTTTTTTAATGTCTCCTGTTTTAAAGTGATAACCTTGCACGAATGAGTGAATAATTAGGTGCTTTAGAGTACTTTTCACACTTTAAAAATTGTTCACCCATTTTCTTTGTATGCCCAATGATATTTTTTGTCTCCGCACTATTTTGAAATATTCAATTCGGAATTTTACTGACTTCTTTGACGGTTGAAATCAACCGCTTGATTCGGCAAACACTGGCATAATATAACTGCGATTCTCGAAGAGGAAGACTTAAATTTCTTCGCAATATTACAACTCGCGGTGACCAATGCTTCCGGTAAGTTTACTGTTTATTGCTGGACGATAAAACTTGGTAGATGCGCACCACGACTCAATCAATAATTAACACGGCAATTATGGGATATTCAAGGTGGACCCGTTTATCGTAGTGTTTGTAGCTACATCTATTTAAAATATTACAACAAAAAATACCTGGGTATAATGCCAGTTTTAGACATCAATCAATAAGTTATTGATATGCAGCAGGGTCGCACTGCATTTAACAAAACGAGGGTTAAATAACACTACTGAAGGAGTACGTTTCAAAAAAGGTTTATTTTCGAAAAAACAAGGCTTTTCTTAAAACTAAAAACGAACAATCAATGTGAACCGTGAAGGACTTTGACACTACATTAATGAAATATCCCTAGACCGGACGCAAAAAGACATGATTTCTATCACCAGAGCAATCAACTTCCCAATTCCTCACCATAATCGATTCTTTTTTAAATACGCCCAAGCATATTTTGTCTCACATTATTCGAACAATACAACGAAAATTGAAAAAAGAATTATTACAATTTTTTGAACACATTTATAAAACCGTTTATCGAAAACAATCTTAAAACACGGAAAAACAAAATAAAAATCCTGAAACACCTCCAGACTTACAGCGTGATCAAATGATTTACAAGAAAACGACTGTTAGAAATAAAATGAATGCTGAGTACATGCCGACAAAAATTACGAAGGTCGATAAAAATAAAGTAACTGGCATTTTTAAGAAAAAACCAACCTCTACGCATATACGAAAAATCCTCTTTTTTTTCAGCATCCTGATCCCGATCCTGCAGGCCCAAGCACTTCAAGTCTACAAACTTCCGAATAACGTATATTATACCGAAGATGTAGCACCCTCGTTATTTTTAAATCATTATCACACTACATATGTACCATTTAATATTAGTAATATTAAACAAACATTTATTATCCCATTTACTTAATAATAATTTTACAAGGAAACAGTTCCATAACGTATATAGGGCATTAAATTTCACTTACAATACTTACGCAAAGCTCAACATTTATGAGTTGAACAGCCGTAAGAAACGAGGATTGATGAACTTTCTTGGCGGTGGGATTAAGTTCATGACCGGAAATCACGATAATAATGACATGGAAACGATTATGCTCTTGCTGGAAATATAATGCATAAGTTCAAACAAAATGTAGAACTTCTAAATCCAAAAACCAACATTATTAGGTCCGAAGTTCTCAAAGCAAATGACCAAATTAATCTCGTTTTCCTTTTGCAGGATCAACACTTGCAAATAAGTAACCTTAATCAATTTTTAGAAAAACTGCTAAGAGTATTTTCATTTGTGCACTTACAAACCATAGATCTCGAAATATTCAGCTCTGACGAAATAAAGGAAATTTTTCAATACCTGAAATTGCATTACCCTAAAAATGCCCTAGGGCCTATTAATCATATTTCTGAATTAACTATAATTTGTAAAACCGGTTTGGTAATTACGAGTGAAATGGCAATTCTCTCAATTATAAGGTTGTTCGGAAAGTCATTTCGTTTTTTCCCGTCAGAGGACTTAATTACGTTTTTTCGAAACCAACTTCACACTTAAGCCGCATAACCATTATATGTCTTGAGAGCTGATATTGCAAGGCTTGTGTGTGAAAAAGTTCTATTAATTCTACGCAGTAGTTTTTGGTTGGTGCCCTTTTAAATATGGAGAGCAATAAGCAGCATTTTCGTCATATTTTACTTTTTTACTTCAGAAAAGGTAAAAATGCTGTCCAAGCGAGAAAAAAATTGACGGATGTGTATGGAGAAGGCGTGTTAACAGTACGCCAGTGCCAGAACTGGTTTGCAAAATTTCGATCCGGCAATTTTGATGTCGAAGATGCACCACGGTCTGGAAGGCCGGTCGAAGCTGACAAAGATGCGTTAAAGGCATTAGTTGATGCAAATCGGCGAATAACCACACGAGAGATCGGTGAGAGATTAAATTTGTCGAATTCGACTGTTTATGGCCATTTGAAAGGCATGGGCTTAACCTCGAAGCTCGATGTGTGGGTGCCCCATGTCCTTACGGAGCGAAATTTGTGTCGTCGCGTTGACGTGTGTGATTCGCTCCTCAAACGTCAAGAAAATGATCCATTTTTGAAGCGGATTATTACTGGGGACGAAAAATGGGTTGTATACAACAATGTTAAACGCAAGAGGTCATGGAGCAGAAAAGATGAACCGGCTCAAAGCGTGTCAAAAGCCAACATTCACCAAAAAAAGGTGATGCTCTCCGTTTGGTGGGATGTCAAAGGAATCGTTTTTTTTGAGCTTTTGCCGGACAATACAACGATTAATTCAGAAGTCTATTGTCATCAACTGGGCAAACTGAATGATTCACTTAAAGAGAAGAGGCCCGAATTAATCAACAGGAAGGGTGTAGTGTTCCACCAGGATAATGCGAGACCTCACACAAGTTTGGTCACTCGCCAAAAACTTTTGCAGCTTGAATGGGACGTACTGCAATATTCACCATATTCTCCAGATCTGGCGCCTTCCGACTACTATTTGTTCCGGTCCCTGCAAAATTTTTTGGATGGCAAAACCTTTACCTCAAATGAAGATGTCAAAAACCACCTGAACCAGTTTTTTGCCAGCAAGGACCAAAACTTATATGAGAGGGGAATTATGTTACTGCCAGAAAGATGGCAAAAGGTGTTGGACCAGAATGGCCAATATATAATTTAATAAAATATTTATTCGTTATACGAAAACTGTCTTTCATGTTCCCCAAAAAAAACGAAATGACTTTCCGAACAACCCAACAAAATACCTATTTTCGAAAGAAATCTTTGCGACTTACAAATTGTGTATCCAATACCCAGCAACGATTCGAAAATGTTAATTAGCCCTAGTAAATATTATTGTAATAATCTGTGGTATAAACGTTGCGAAATAGTTAATTCAAGATGGTTGTGTTCGGATCAGTTAAACAGTTGTTATCTTCCAGTTGACTGTCAGTATGCTACTGTACAAAACAACTTTCGTGTGCATACTCTGATATTTAAAAATTCTTTACTGTTCTGTCTAAAAAGAACGTTATCATCGACAACCAGAAGTATTCCCTGGGTATAAACAATATATCCATTCAGTATCCGGAAAGGACGAATCTTTAACCAAGCAACTTCACCATAAATCTACAAATGAAACACTTAAAGGATCCAACCCTTATTCAAAAGGACCTTATAGAGCCGATGAAAATCGAAGGATTTGTTCACCAAAACCAAATATATTACTGTTTAATTTTCTCACTATTGTGTGTGACTAGTTCCAGCATCATGCTCTACCAATGGAGGAAAGATAGACTCCTAGAGGCCATCCCTGTCAAAACTCTAGAAAGGACTATTAACGAGGATGTTGAAGAATCTAAGGGAGGAGCAGAAATATCTCTAGACCGGATGCATCCTGCTGAATAGACGCTGAATCCACGATTCAGCCATATAAAATCACTGCCACCATTTCCCGAGTAACATTAATGTAGTGTCAAAGTCCTTCGCTGTTCACATTAATTGTTCGTTTTTAGTTTTAAGAAAATCTCGTAGGGATTCTTGACCATAAGGCCAGTAACATCAACATAATTTTGGTTTTTGATGGAAGGTGTCAAGGGCTTTCTTCTCAAAGGCTTCCAAAAATATATTCGCCATCACTAGTGATAATGGAGAACGCAAAAATAATCTTAACCGCAACTCAGCTCTTTACTTTGTACAGAGTAGAGTAGAATGCGAACCAGTTTCAGTAAAGATCTGAAACAACCGACGCTGGAGGAATCCAAAATGTTTAAATTCAAATCAAGTATTACCCGGTTAGTAGGACTGTATATAGAGTTAAAGAATTTTTTAATTTTACAATGTGTAAGGGCAAGTAGACTGAGAGTTTTTACTTTATCAACTGCTTAAATTTAATGGAGGTGTGTTTTTATTGACTTTTAATTTATTTGGTTTTGGCCTTGGCAATGAAATAATTTCAATTTGATTCGAATAGATCGTATAATAAATAATATAAAATTATTAGGTTTTCCAAAACAAATTAATAAATAGACAAAGATTGAAGAACAACAAAATAATAGTTCTATATTGACAACAAAAGTATAAATAATTACACATAAAATATTTTTTTACGAGACTGAGGTAATGGCATTGTGGGGCGATCCCATCTGTATCAGCACCTTATCGAGCCACTGCAGTGGTCCGTGGAGGTGAATTTCTATCCAACAAGGAGTGCTGGTTACGTCTTGTCGGTGGTATTCCGCGCCCCAACCCTTGACGAAGCTCATCCGGATCGTGCACATTTTGGTCAGTTCGTAAACGGCCTCGAAACCGTGATTGACGCATTGAGACAAGAGCTGAGCGAACTCGGCGTTGTTGAATATCCTCAGAGAACAACCGGGAGGTATTTTACACACGGTTGTGGAATTAAAACCATGGTGGTGGTTGCAATTGCGCGATTGCACGAATATGGGCGTATCCGAGAGGCATTCAGCGTAGACCTCGCCATTTATATAAAACAAGTGGACACCTAGAAACATAATGAACAATTATAACTAAAAAGTTTTACAATTTTGGGTAGTCCCGCGCATGTTATCATTAAATCAAAGGAAAATTTAAAATTTAAAAGTAAAATTAAAAGTTAAAAAATAGGGATACAAATAATAATAATAATAATAATAATAATAATAATGCATAGAGCTGTTATCAAAATGGATGGAAGCCTATCGCCACTTAACCATAAAAATAGGGAATACAGATGTGACCAAGATTACAATATCGCCACCCTTCAAAGCAGATGGAGAGAGAAAGAATTGCATAGCAGATACCCCCACCTCCTTAGCAGCGAATATATCGACGCCCCAGCTATGATGAAATGGCTAACATCAAGCATATATTCCCAGAGACCGAAGGATTCTTATGTGCAACACAAGATCAAGTCATCCCTACAAAATCTTACCTGAAATACATCGTTAAGGACGAAGAATAACCGATACAAGATGTCGTATATGTGGCGAGAGTCACGAAAACATAGAACACCTTCTTAGTGGATGCAAAATGATGGCACCGCGCGAGTGTACGCAAGGCACAACAACGTTGCAAAAATAATACATAACAAGATTTGCCACAAACTCGGCCTTATAAAAAATAAAACGCCATACTATCAGTACGTGCAGCAAACAATAGTAGAAGATATGCATTACAGGGTCTACTGGGATAAACAAATACAAATAGATAGACCGGTACAACACAACAGACCAGACTTCATGATATATGACAAGCAACAACGAAATATTGCTCTGGTGGACATTTCCGTACCTTCCCCTAACATTGACAAGAAACATCAAGAGAAAGTTGACAAATACATATCGCTAGCTGAGGACATGAAGCAGACCTGGGGTGCAAGGACGATCAAGACTATTCCCATTATAATTGCACTAAAACAATAAACGGCTTCGTACTAATTAAATTTAATACATAGTAATTTTTTTAAAAAAGCAAAAATTAAAAATAAAAATAAAGAGTGTAAAAAGATCTATCTGCCTAGAAGTTCTGTCAAGTTCTTAAATTCATGCAGTCTTGGAACTTCCTTGGTGTTCCATAAAACACAGATAACAAACTGTTTTGAACTTAAAGTAATTTTAACTGTGTAACTAACTGAGACAAACCTAAAGAGGGAAATAGGTTAAACAGCCCGTTTTACAACATCGGCAGCTTCGAGTATGCGTGTAATCTAAACACCATCTTGCTCCACCCGTTATGGGCAATACCGGGCGAAACAGAAAAGCAATTTTCAATTTTTCCACATTATGAAGCTAACCACTTCAGATTTGAACGGAAATGGTAGTAGCTGAATTTTAATTGGCACACCCTATATATATTTTGCAGCTTTTGGATTACAGGGCTATTTTTGTATTATATCTATTGTTTTTCTTTAAAATTTATTTAATTTTGAAAAGCATACCTATGGGCGCTTCTAAATAAATAAATTCTCAAGCGGACTGATGATTAGAAAAAATCTAAACGAAACTTTACCTTACTTGTTTAGTGCCAAATAGCATTTAATGAAATCAAACCAATAATTTTTAGGATAACCCAGTTTTTTCATATAGCATCTTAGCGGGAACAAACACTTTTTAAATCCAAAATTTTGAAAAAACCATTAAAAAATAAGCTCACAGTAAAGAAATACATCGGCAAAATTGATTTTTATACTACACAGAAAGTGTCATTTTACCACATTAATTTCGTTTCCCACGAATTCGAGTCACTTCGGCCATTTTCAGCATTTTACCGCACGGGTTTGGGAGCAGTCGGATGTTTTCGGAGATATTTCCCACGCTTTGAATTTTGAGGTTTGCCAATTCTGGCAGTCGTGCTAGTGAATGTCGGATACATGGAAATGTACCTAAAAACTGTTTAATAAACGCGTGCTTAACCACACATATTCTACTGCTTTATAAAAATAAAATACTGGTTCTGCACATTTTGAAAAATTCTGACACTTTGCTTTAGACTATCTTTAAAATTGGAAACAACAGTGTCCAGTGAGGGAAAGTCAGCAAAGTCAAAGAGCACAAGTGGCAATACTGTCAAAGTTGATAAATTGATGATTCGACCATCATATTGGTCCAACCTTGAAAATGATAAAAAAGGTGAATCATAGAATGAAATTATAAAAAGGATTGTCTTCACTAGGGAGGAACAATCTATCAAATTTTTGACGAGTTTATACAGAATGGCCAGAGACAAGTCATGTCAAAGAGTTGGAGGAACAGAATTTGAAGGATGCATGTAAATTGAAGTGAAAATATTTTAAGCTTTTACGGTGGGCACTCCAAAATAGCATTCTGATTTTCTAGATTGATATTATAGATGGATATTGCAGTTTACTCCTTAGATTTAGATTAGATTTTTTTTATTAAATTTTAATTTTTGGTCTACTCAAACGCCTTAAAAATATTGTGTTTACAAGTACCGGTAATTTGTGTTATTTTTATAAAAGACAGGACTTTGGATTTGGCACAATTAAATTTCGGAGAGTTTTGCAATTCCATGCAATTATTCTATTTGGTGATATCCAGACATATTTTTATGTCATCCGCAAACAACATATGAGGTAAATTTAACGTAACAAATTTGATGAAAATCAAAAAAACATTTCTAAACTTATATACCGCGTGACCAAATTGTGTGTAAAAGTAATATCTCTAATTTAATATGTGTTTTAGAAAAAAATGTTAAATACAAAAGTTATAGGCTATATAAGCTAATTCATAAAAGATTGGGAAAGCAAACTTATATTTTTTTAAACGGAACACCTTGTATATTATCGCATTAATAGATTTTTTATACTCAATCACCGAATGTAGAGTTGTTATGGTCTGTCCTGAGTGTTTTCGGATTTATTATTATTTAATTAAAAATAAGTTGAATTTAATACCATACTTTTTGCAAGTGGTTTCCGACAGCATTAATTTGGATCACTCTGTGTATTATATTTTCATTAATTGCTCTTATTAATGCCCTTTCAATTTTATTAAGCACTTCGTTAATCTAAACTTAGTATTTTTTGAGGTATACACATTTTTACAAGCAATATATTGAACATTTTCAAATGTTGAGAGGAAATTAAATATTACCTGAACATGAAAAGTCTGTATCGACGAATTAAATATAATTCTTTAAGATAATAGCATTCGTTAAATGTCAATACAAAATATAATGCGTTAATAATTTATTAAGTGCGAGATATAAACAAAAATCAAATTATACAATATACAAAAATGCCAAACTAATATAATAAGAACAACACTGCAAAACAAAAGAACTGTTTAATTAAGTTTCTGTCCATCTCCTACAGACTTTGATACACGCGGTAGCACGGTGTTTAAACTTGGCCGACCTACATTTGCACTAAAATAGGCGATTTGAAAACATTATTTATAGTTCAATAATAATATGAGGTTTAAGAAAGGCAGAATGTCTAAATTAATGGAACGAAAGGAAATATTTTCTTAACAAAATTAAAAATTTACATATTTTTCTTGGGATATTGAGATATTTTATAATAATTTCACAAACTTTCGGAGTTTCGTTCTTAAAAATGTGTATAGTTCAAATTCAAAGTTACGGTGTGGGGCATGCTTAATAAAATTGATTATATAAACGAATGGAACTAATTTCAAGATAAGTATAGAGTAATTGACGGCATAATAAAATTACAACTGTCGGGAATGGCGTCAAAAATTTAAAAATCAAAATATAAATTTGGTTTGGTTGATATTTTTTGTCTTGTTTCTTCATGTATCCTCAAACGGAATTTTCTCTTTGACGGATTGAAGATGAGAGATTTTTGGACAAGTGGCAAATCTGGTATTGAGGTTATATTTCTTAAGAACTTTTGATATGTAGTCAATGAAGTTCTTGATGTGACGAAGGACAACAGTGGGGTCGCTTTTGGTCTAATTGTCTTAGGAAAGTTGTGGACAATACACTTCACCACAACCTTCTAAAGACAATGCATCCGAAAGCAACCCCATACTTGCCACTGTACCCTTTTATTACATTCAAAATATCAATATCCACGGACAAGATGAAGAACTGCAAGGAGTGCTGAAAATATCAGCAACTGGGCCTTACACCAATGTCAGCGTGGCGTATTTTGAAGAAATCTTTAGGCCTGCACCCATATATAATGGTTCTAACAAATGAACTCAAGCCTGTTTTACGGAAAACGTTTACCGATTGGGGTGTTTTGCAGTTTTTGGTTAACAAATTATCTTTTCAGATGAGGCTCATTTGATTAGAGAATAATTGAACTGAGGTGGCTTTTACTTGATCAAAAACCATTTAACAAAATAAATAAGAACTGAAAGCCCAGATTTTCACGAAATTACATATAGTCATATGACAATTGTTTCGACAACACCGTATCTTTATCAAATTTGATATCAATCGATAAGGGAGTTATGGAAGTCATGTTAAGGAGTCATGTCATTTATTAAGGGAGCGTTTTGAAGGGAATATTAAACGGAAAAAAGTCCTATATAAGTCTACCGCCGCAACCGACGCGGCCATCTTACTGACTTCTTATTTAAAACATAATGTTATAGAGTTGGCTACAAAACACAACAAAAATCATAAAGATACATTAGTTTGTTTTTATTTTATAGCACCTTGAGCTATATAATTTTTATTGGTTAGTTGTTATTTATTCGATTTTGTCATTTATAGTTACCAATTTATATTTTACTAATACGTATGAGCGTGAAAATCTAATGTACAAATGTTTCTATTTTATTTATTTATTTAATTTCAGTAGTCCCGCAGAGAGATTTCACTTTAATTGACTTCATCGCGTAAGTTGCTTTACTTTTGTCCGACAGTCCACTCACCTTTCCCAATATGTCGCCTGGTGTTTTCTATCGTCGAATTCCTGTTGACGTTGCTCAATTGACCCAAACAGAACCGGTCACTGTCGCACCTTGGATTGGTGAATCCGTCTACAGTCACCGATTGTGATTGACAGTGAAACACCTCGCCTACGCGGCTGTTCAGTTCGTAGTAAGCAATCGAAGCCCAAAATGGTTGTTCTTGATAAGCAACTTCCCGCACATCTTCATCAACTGTCGCTTGTCTCCCACTTCCAGGAGGTGGACCATTAGAGACTATACTCCCCGGGCTTTCCGGCGGACCAGTATTGGGAAAACTATTCGAACAGTAGTTCACATTATGGGGAATGTTTGGTTCGGTGAACTGTTGAAAAGGCAACAGCGAGTGGCCCGGCACGAAATCGTTCTGTCTAGGCACCAGTACCGGAGGCAACACTGCACTTTCCACCCTCTTGTAGTGGTAAGGGTTGATGCAAACTTCCTTTTGTTTCCCCGAGAACGGAAACTGGCAGTAATCGAGGGGTTTGAGCTCGTGATGGGTCTGCAAGTCCGGCCAGCGCCATACGCGACAGTAGATGACGTGAGGGTATGCTTTGCGGTGCGACACCTGCAATCTCCCGTCCAAGCTGCGGGGGATGGTCACACACTTGCTTGGTTGACCGGGGGCGGACAACGCTCGTTCCAGTTCCTGAATGGCCCCAGTTCGATTCTTCAACTTTTTGACGAGACTGTCTATAGCTTTTCCAGCCCACTGTTCTTCCTCGTCGCCCTGTTTCCAACCTAGGAGCTTCTTGACGGCGGGACTCGTGAAGGAAAAGAGTCGGTTGAGGGCGGACATGGGTCCAGTACCGGATGATTCGTTCAACGTGGAATCCATCTTTCAAAGTCAAAAATAAGTAATTCTATTTTTCCCAAAATTAAAAAAAAAATTCAAATCACGAATAATGATTACGTAAGAATATTCATAGCGACATCGTCAAATTGACGTACTATAAATCAAATGGACCATGTCCCAATCGACTCTAAACATTCACAATACATAATGCATACAAGAAGATATCGTGGAGCGGACATGGACACCGATCACACGCTGTAGTGTTCTTTTTAAAATAATAATCGTTTATTATTTATCTTGTTGTTAGGATGTTATGTTATTTCATTAAAACTGTAAAAGTAAAAAGAACAGTCTTCTTTTTTCTTTCTGAAGGATACTAGTTGGTAACTAAAAATTAGTATTTTATTTTTCACAAAAAAGTTCTAGAAATAAAAACTAATTTACTACTACTAAATATTTAACGATATTGTTGTGACCGTGCAGAGAAGAGATTTTAATTTTTTTAAGCGAAAACCATTCACCAGTCAAAAAAAAATCAAGAAATAAAATGTCTTGGTTTTTGAAAAATTTACCACGCTGTATCACAGTTAACCCGTTTAGGACATAGGTTCATATAAAGTTTTCTGTTTCACGTGGATCCAAAAATAGCCCCCTTAATTATTGACATTCAATTAGAAAACACCATGTATTGCCCATACGCATGACAATGGTCAACTTTTACCCTCCAAGTTTTTGGAATAAAAAAGAACTTTTTTAACATTCTGTAGATACGAAACAAAGCAGAATCGAACCCATGTTGATATAAAAAAGTCTTACATTTACGTGAAGACTTTCCTTTTCAGTGATAGCACATTTTTCTGGGACACCCTGTATATTTCATTGTAAATATTGATTAACATTAAGAATTAATAATTAACAAGAATTTAAGATTTTTCCCTACTTCAAGAAATATAAGTTTTAGGTAAATATTATTTAGCCGAATTTCAAGTTTTTCTTTAATCACCATTCTAAAAAATACATATTGCCACTTTCTGACTAGTAATTTTTTTAATACCTTGGAAAAGGTTTAAATTAATTAAAATTCACTTTTAATATAACAATTACTATTTTTATTATATTAAAATAAAAATTGTTTTAAAATATCTATTTCATTTTCCAGATTAAATGCTAAATTGCACATTCAGCGCTAATCCGAATCATAGCTAAGATTGGTTAGTGACGTGGTTCGTATAAGTTAAATAGAAAATAAAGTTAAAATAATATTGCCTTTTATTTTAACAAAGGAAGCTAGAGCGAAATTCTTTCTGTTTTAATCTAGCGAGTGAAAATGAAATTCGTTAAGTGGATATTGATATGATATGTGCAATATAGGTGTAACATGGTTTTTATAATATTAATTGTTTACTGAGTTTTATCGAACGTATAAATAAGGAAATTAGTAACTCACCTTTAACCAACAATGTCTGCTGTTTTAGATAATAAAACTCTTCGTCTCTTTAGTCATTTGGTCACTTAGTGTTTTTACACAACACAAAATTCACCCGCATGCCATCGAACTTCGCAATACACTACAAAAACCTTTTGTGTATAAAATGTGGTGGTGCGCCGAAAGTCGTAAAAATGGATTTAAGCAGGTAGAAAGATTTCTGTTTCTCTTATAATAACGGAAAATTGCTAATGCCAGTTGGCTCGAGGGTAGTCCCTTACATATTTAAAAAGTTATATCCTTGTTCAGAGGACGTTTAAATTTTAGAGATTACCACTGAAATTAAGTTAATACAACGCGTGTTAATCGAAAACATTTACTTTCCCAACAAATTTTAATTCACAAGATGTTGCATTGTTTTTGAAGTTGAATTAAGATTTGCGTCTGTTGATAACTAGTTATACTACTATAGCTACTTATAACTACGAACTTGATTAATGGAATGTTTAGAGTATTCCGGGATATCATCTGTTCCACAAATTAAATTAATTATATTAAAATAAACAAATAATGCCTTTATTTAAAACAGTTACAATAGTAATATAAAAATTTCGATATAAACACCAGAAAACGCAGGAAAACAGATAACAAAGAGGCGCGAGTTATACATCCCAACGTGACGCTAATGTATTTAATTAGCCCTGAGTTAGCACAAACCCAACGGCAAGATGCGCTTATCAGTGTCGCGTCTACAATTACTACAATATTTTCTATTGTAAAACAGTCAGTCTTGTCTATGAAATCGATGTAACCAGTCGACTAATTAAGTCATTAAAATACAATTGTTGTAATTTTGGTGTTTTTTTAAAAACGGTTTTCGGCATCCGAGGTACTTAAGTGGCGCAGTCGGTAGGATTATTTCGTGGAATTTTCGCCGCGGAAAATCTGTGAGTTTTAACTCTTAAACGAAATATCAACAAGTGAACAATTTTAAGTGAGCAGAGTAAACCAAACAGTGCTGCTTCGAAGAAATCTATTGGGGATACATCGACGAAATCCGGCAACAAGTATGGTTTTCATCTCTTCCGTGATGCTGATACTGTAAGTCGATTGATACAATTTTTGGTTCATGTCAGACTCCTCTCTCTCCGTTGATTCCTTTGACGAAAACGACGAAGAGACAAATTTATATTTAGATTCAGAATTAGATTTAAACTTAACAAACTTTTTCGAAAATTTGAGAATTTCAAGTAGTAGTACTAAGGAAATTATGGCACGACCAGTTCTTGATATTAAAAATTTAAGCATTATCCCGCAATTCGATGGCAACCCAAATAAACTTCATCGATTTATTACGGCATCTGAAGCAATTTTAAAACAATATTACAATCCTGTAGAACCAACGTGTTTTCAAAATATGTTCTAATTAAATGGACTTTTAAATAAATTAGAGGGACGAGCAGAAGAAATCGTTGCAATTAATAATCCGACAAGTTGGGACGGTATTAAAACCGCTCTTATACAGTATTTTGGCGATCAGAGAGATGAAAATTGTTTAAATCATGACCTTGTTAACTTGAGACAAAAACAAAATGAAACTCCCTATCAATTTCACGAAAAAGTTATTCACTTATTAAATACTATTTGCAACCATATTGATATAAATTGTCCAGATGAACTAAAAGAAAGTAAGAGAGTAAGTCAGGCCTTGCAATACATAACTGAGGAAGACAACATTAAGTATTATCAGAGATCTAACCACACCAACATTTTATATCAATCCCAACAACATAAACCACCAACCCAAAGGCTGCAACAACCAACCCCTAACAGATATCAAAACTGCCAGCAACCTCATTTTAGACCCATAACATGGCCACAAAATCCACCCCAATTTCATCAGCCACAATTCCCTCGTGGCCCAATTAATGTTCAAAGACACCCCAATCCACCAATGCAGAGATTCCCCACTAACTCACAAGTTTTTGGAAAAACTTCTGCAGGACCGAGTACCTCACGGGATAAACCTACCCCTATGAGTGTATCCACCAGGAATACTTCGACTAATTTAAGGAAACCTTTCCAAAGCAATAATCATTTCCAAAATTTCGGACAAAAACCCAATTTTATTTCTGAAGAATTATTCAACACGGAACACTTCGACGAACAAACTGACTATGACGAATACCCACCAGATGATCAACAAAACTACGAACCCGACTTTGACAACCAAAATGAAAAACAAAACGAAAATTTTCGCGAAAGCCCGAACCTCGAACAGGAAACGTGATAGAATATCACATGTCCTCGGATAAAAAAGAATTACCGTATATTCAAATCACAAAACCACCCTTAAAACTTTTAATTGACACAGGTACGACAAAATCTTTCATTAACCCGGAAATCGCCTCTAAATATTATTATAATCGCATTTTCCATGAACCTTTTACAGTTTCGACCATCTTTCAAACCTCATCACACGATTATTGTTGCGAAATTCCAATATTTCCTGAGTTCAACCAAAAAGAAACATTGAAATTTTATCTTTTTAACTTCCACAATGTGTATGACGGATTAATTGGATTAGATAACCTAAAACTGTTAAATGCGCAACTCGATTTCGTTAACTCAATCCTAACTACACGTTGTTCAAAGATACCAATAAAGTATCAAAATTTAAATCAAAATATTTCATTTAAACTAAAAATCAAACCCCATACACTAGTCGTTACGAAAGTACCGGTAAATAAAACAGGTGGTGATATCATCATCCCCCATCAAAACATTCAAAACTGCGAAATACCTGAAACATTATCTGTTGTAAAGAATAGATTAGATTAGTCGAAATATTAAATAAAACGGACAAGGAAGTGACAATTATATTGACAAGTCCCTTAAAAGTGATTCCTTTTGACGAAAATAACTACGAACTTTACCACGTTGATGTCACATCTTTTAATGAAAAACAGAGATTAGATATTGAAAAAATTATACGCACTGACAACATGAACGCGGAAGAAAAAGATCATGTTATTAAATTATGTAAAAAAATTTCGGATATTTTTCACACTGAAAATCAGCCGTTGACCTTTACGAATCAATTAAAACATTCCATTCGGATAAAAGATGAAATCCCGGTTTATAGTAAATCATATAGGTACCCGTTCGTTCACAAGGACGAAGTTCAACGTCAAATTGGTTCAATGTTAAACCAAGGAATCATAAGACCCAGCAATTCACCCTGGTCATCACCGATATGGATTGTACCTAAAAAAACGGACGCCTCCGGTAAAAAGAAATGGCGAATCGTCGTGGACTACCGGAAACTTAACGAAAAGACGATAGAAGATAGGTACCCGTTACCTAATATATCTGATGTCCTAGACAAATTAGGAAGGTGCACCTATTTTACAACCCTCGATTTGGTCAGTGGTTTCCATCAAATAGAGATGAACCCGGAAGACATCGCCAAAACAGCTTTCAACGTGGAGAATGGCCACTACGAGTATCTACGGATGCCGTTCGGACTCCGAAACGCCCCTGCGACATTCCAGCGAGTTATGGACAACATACTCAGAGGGCTACAAAATGAGATATGTTTGGTGTACCTAGATGACATCATTATATTTTCAACTTCACTCCAGGAGCACCTTGTCAACTTAAAAAAGGTATTTCAGCGTCTAAGAGACACCAACTTCAAAATACAGCTTGACAAATCGGAATTCCTGAAAAAAGAAGTGGCATATCTAGGCCACATCGTGACAACTGACGGAGTAAAACCCAATCCCGACAAAATTTTGGCAATAAGGAAGTATCCATTACCGAAATCAACAAAGGAAATAAAAGGATTTCTAGGACTCTTGGGATATTACCGAAAATTACTAAGCCTTTGACGATGTGTTTAAAAAAGGACGCCAAAATAGAACACACCCCGGAATTTATCGCTTGTATTGAACGCTGCAAAAACCTACTAACAAATGAACCTATACTGCAATACCCAGACTTTACCAAGGATTTTGTCCTTACGACAGATGCGAGTAACGTAGCCGTCGGAGCCATATTATCTCAAGGACCGATAGGTAACGACAAACCTGTCTCCTTTGCATCAAAAACACTGAACGAATCGGAACAAAATTACTCAACAACCGAGAAAGAGCTCCTCGCGATAGTTTGGGCGACAAAATATTTTCGGCCATATTTATATGGGCGAAAATTCAAAATCGTTACAGACCACAAACCACTCCAGTGGCTTATGTCACTAAAGGAACCGAATTCACGGTTAGTCCGCTGGAGATTAAAACTGGAAGAATACGATTACGAAGTGGTGTATAAAAAAGGCAAAAACAATACCAATGCGGATGCACTATCCCGTATTGAAATACACACCAAGGAATTATTTAAGTACATGGAAGATTTTAACGATAAGATATCCAAAAAACCCGATCGAGGTAACGAATCAATCGTAGGCAATATTGACGAAGCACCCTGTATAGAAGACGTAAGAGGAAGCGAAAATAATGACCCGACCAATCAAAATCCATTTAACATAGAATTCACGCCCAATACCGAAGAAGACAACTCACAGGATGACAACACCAGACATACCAGCCACGAAGAGCCAATTCTAGGAATACCAATTTCAGAAAAACCACTCAATATGTTCGATCATCAAATAGTTATTGATTTTGTCCACCATTCACCGGCCAATCCGAAAAAGAAGCAGATTTTCCCGACAAAAATTCGACACTTCGTGCAAATATCGGAAATGAACCTAGAAAACGATATTATACAATTTTTCAAAAACTTTATTCAACCAAAATTTTTGTATGCGTTACATTTCAAAAACGAAACCCATATCCCTGAAATTTGTAATATTCTAAAAAACACCTTTAAAAATTCTGCTTTCAAACTTGTGAAACGTAACACCGTTTTAGAAGACGTTGTTGAGAAAGATGCCCAAACAGAAACTATTCAAAAATTCCATGAAGGCAAAACAAACCATCGTGGAGTTGTTGAAACCGAAACTCGAATTAGACGGACATATTATTGGCCAGGAATTAAAAACGATGTTAATGAATACGTAAACTCTTGC